TATTATATAATAATAATATTGCAAAACCAAATCTGAACATCTTAAACAGTATAACAGTAACAGTTAGTAATATTTTAGCACGGTAATATATTTTTTTGAAGCTTTAAACAAACCAGGGAAGTTAGTATCAAGCTTTTAAGGCTGAATTCAAGTTTTGAAAAGACATGAGATAAAACTATAAAATGATTTCAAAAAAGTGAATAGCTGGAACAACTGTGCGGGATGCATAGCATAATCTCGTCAGTCACTGGGTCTTAAAAAGTTCATGTAATTTTGACATAACATTTAATACAGAATTTTCAACACAGCTTCCTAAACTGTAGCAAAGAGAACCGCAAAAAAACCTGTAGCAACAGTAGCATCCATTAATAGGACTTTATATTGATGAATATTCTTCGGCAGACGCAGATAGAATAATTCCGGTTCCATCGTTTTCTCATTGGTTTGTATCAAAATTTTGCCCATTTTGCAGTCCTTCACAACAGCTCTCAATGCATGTTCCATTGTTTCACCTGCACGCATGATTGTAACACCGCATATTTGCGCTGTATTCCTTTTGCCAACAAATCTACATAAAAAAATCTAAAGAATTCAAGTCAAATTTTAAAATGATTTTATAATGCAAGAAATTTAGTTAAAACACACTTTTCCATTGTTGGCGTAGTAACCGTGGCATCCTGGAATGGCATAAAATTCATAGCATTTTCGATTAGTATTCGCATTAATCGATTCGAATAGAAATTGAATTCATCCCTGAAGATTGGAAAACTGAAGAATGATGCTTCTTATGAGTTAATCAAACAATGTAAAAGTTTCTAAACGCTTGAAAAAAAAAATCGCACAACTAACAAAAATCACCTTGGAGTACTGCGATTCCTTATAAATGTATGCAATCCACGAACTTGTGGTGTTTGTGACACAACTGTTAACGTACGAGGCAGTTGTAATGGCAAATCTTTTTGTACCATTCCTGCACGTTGTGAATAAGGATTCTTCGATGCATCGTAACCTTAAAGTTTAGTAATACATTATGTGAATGTTATATTTATCGTCACTGTTCAGAAAATTTCAAATAAAAAGTGAAATTCAAAATTTATTGTTCACCTCTTTCAGCGAGTTGAGTTTTTACTTGTTTAACAATGAGATCGATGGCTACTTCATTTTCACCACCTCGTGGTACGATAATGTCCGCAATCTTCATAGCGGGTGCTATGAACGTATCAAAAGCTGGCTTTACAAACCGTAAATATTGAGTTAAAACACCTTTAAGATCTCGTCCACGATCCTGGATGTCTCTTTCTAGCCTTCGTGCCAACCGTGTGTCCGGGTCCGTATCCACAAATACCTCAAAATTGTTGGTGAATATATGCGCTTTTAATCCTCTTCATTCAAAAAAAAAAAAAACATATGAATTTAACCATTCATACTTTCATATCCATTAAATCAACCAATTCCTTGTTGTAGAAAGCTAAAATGCCTTCAAAAATTAGTACATCTGCGCCATACATTAATTTCGACTGTTTGTCACGTCTGTGGGTAGTGAAATCGTAAACTGGGACCTACAAACAGCTGTCTCAAAGTTTTGAAAACATTCGCTAATTTTGGGTTTTCTAAAATTTTAAAGCGACATACTTCAACATTCTTGCCTTCTCGAAGACGCCGAACAGTTTCACACATTAAATCAAAATCGAAGGCCTGTGGATGGTCGAAATTATACTCACTTTTGGACGCTAAATGATGTTGTCCCTCTGTCAGCACCTTTAATAGATTATTTAACTGAAGCACAAAATCCAAATACACTTTCAAAACATCTTGGGAGGTCTGCCATTCTATTACTTAAAAGCGAAATGTGAATTTAAAGAATAAAAAAATTTCATTCAAAAAAGTACTTTGTAAAACGAATCCATGGATAAAACGGTAACCCAAGGCATTTCCAATCGTTCAATTATTCGTCTAGCAACAGTAGTTTTCCCAGAAGCTGAGCCGCCACAAATTCCAATTACATACGGTTGTTTTAAAATTTTCCCTTCTCGATCATACCATGGTGGACGTCCTTTTGTATATATACGCTGTAACTTATCAGGGACAATCAAAAAAAAACAAAATAACTCCTTTAAAAAATAATAAAGAAAATCAAAAATAATAAGTATCAGGGGAAAAAAATGATAGAAATGATAAAGTAGTTCGCTCCTTTTACGAAAGTTATGACAATTATTAACCAAATAAGTGAAATAAAGTGAGGAAAATTGGGAAATGAAATTCTACATACACGTCCACTTTCAGTTGTGATAAGATGGTCTTCGGATTTTGAACCCGAAATAGTACGCATAGATCGATGTAGAGGGAGAACGGCAGCTGCGGAACCACTAAAATTTTCAACAGTAAATATAAAAGACACTAAAAGGGAAGAATATTAATGAATGTTGCTAAATAATGTACAGAAAATTTATCCCAATGTACATCTTACATAAATGAGGAAATATGAAGTAAAATTGAATTCCTTAAACTACAACATTCTTTTCAAAAACTGTCGACAGTAGATATTTTACAAGGAATTCTCTTTCTAATTCACACAAAAAAAAAGAGAATTACCTGTCGGCAACATCACTGTGCAATGATGTGGTTACTGTCGTACCCATTGAAGCACTGCCTAATGGATCCGCAATTGTCACATGACGTTGTTCTACGTGTTGGCGCATTTTTCGTTTCAACTATAAAATTCAAAAAGTGAATGAATAAGTCAGATGTAATACATCAAATTGTTGCCAAATAAAGTGGGCATTCAGTGATTGCTAAAAGTGTAGCATAAACATCATAATGGATGCAAAAATCAAATTTCAAATTAAGGGAAAAAAAATTGACCATAAATTGCTTACAATGAATGGATGCATTAAAAATGAATGTTATTTCGTTTCGAGAAATAAAAAAGAACCGACCAATTGAATGTATATTTAAAAGGCTACTAATTAATGCAGTATTTGATAAAATTTAAATATCAAAATAGAAATAATATGAGGAAAGGGTTTGTTGTAAACTTAAAAAGAACTTAAAATAGGAAGAGAGAGACAACGAGAAATGATGTAAATGAGGAAGAAGAAATAATAGCCTAGTTAAAGATGACTTAATTATATGTAGTACAATTGAAAATTATAAGCAAAATTGAAGCCAGACACACATACAAAACTCAATGATAGAGAGTGATGACGTTTAAACCAGGTGACTGATTATATTTGCAACGGTGCAAACGCTCTGGATGGCGTTTGCACTGTTGCAGATATGGTTGTTCATGGCCTCTACACTGTTGCAGAAAACTGTGGCATTTATATAGACATTAAGCATTTTAAAGTGAAAAAAAAAAACGGCATTCGAGCTGTAATGTTATTGTGATAAATTACAAGGAGAATGGAGCCTGTTCATGGCCTTTGCACTGTTGCAGAAAATTGTGACATTTATATGGAACCATTTAAGAAGTGGAGAAAAAGCGGTATGTGAGCTGTAATGTTATTGTGATGGATTACAAAAATGGAGCCTGTTCATGGCCTTTGCACGATTGCAGAAAATTGTGGCATTTATGTAGGCATTAACCATTGAAAAAGTGGAGAAAAAACGGCATTCGAGCTGTAATGTTTTTTATGATCGATTAATGGGGAACGGAGCCTGTTCTGTATTTCTCCCCACAATGAATCTATCATTGGAGAGAGGACAACCAGCGAAGAAGTTTCATTTTTCATCACTAGGTTCAATTATTATTAGTATTCACATTTATAAATCCTCCATATGCTTCCCATCAACAAACAAATTGTGCATGGCATGTTATCAAGCTAAGCTTAGGTAATACAAGTGAAAGTCGAAACATAACAGGGATTTCAGGATTCAAGCAGAAAAGTTCTGTCAATTGAGTAATTTCAAGTTCATCTAATAAGTAGACATAATTACGAGATGGATCGATGAAGATCATACATGAATCTAGGACTATTAAATGAAAGGATAGTAAGATGCTGATAAGTGCTGATAAGTTTTTTTTTTTTTGCAGAAGGAATCTGCGAAATTTTAACTTCTCAGATATTCTGCAATAATAATTTCAGTAGAAGCAATGTTTTTAAACTACGAAAATTCGAACGTAAAATATATCTTTACTAAAAATCAAATAGACCCGTCGAGCTGATAAAAACGATACTGGAATGAGACTCTTTGTAACATGCACTTTATTTATTCGACAATTCCTTCTTTTGAAGTTTTATTTCAATCTTAATGGAAATTTTGATATAGAAAAGTAATACGCGAGAGCCTAAAGATAATTCCTATGCAATTTTTAAATTGAATAACAATTAATTTTGCAATAGATGATTGCAGCAACTGACCGTTCTCTTAAATGCTGGAAAAGGATACTAACTCGATATTGAAGATGAAGACCATAAATGGCCAACACATAACAATTGAATATCTGCCAATTTGACAAAAAATCAATACTAGAGGTCATCTGATGAAAATCAATGTCAGAGATAACCTCACGAGAAGCAAGAAAACATACAAAACTGAAGTTTAACACAGATCGCATAATGTTAGTGAGTAAGCTTTGACCTCTGAAATATTGCAGGAGAGAAAAACAGAATGGTTGGGTTATCCTGTGCTCGGACGATAGCGCAATCAACAATAAAAGCAACCGGGAATAATAATTGCAGTTATGTTCAATGATGGCAAACAATAAAACCGCACAATAAATAGAATGATGCGAATAAAACCATTCAAAACTTCCCACAAAATTTTCCTTTCTTTGTTCTCGAGAATTCCTTTTTAGTCTCGAGATCAAATCAAACCTAACACTTCCTTTCATAAGGAGATGTTTGATGAAAAATCATTTTTCCTTTCCAAGCAAATAAAAAGTGTTAAAGTACTCATTCCTCAATCACTCCAATTTCTTTTCTTTTTCTAGTAAATTGAAGAAATTGTAAAAATTCTTCCATGCCTAAAATTCAAAGTTACACATTTCAAGCGAAATGAAATGAATTTACCAAATTTGCCCGTTCTTATGTTTTTATAATTACTTTTTATATTTACTAAAATTATTCGCAACAAAACGAAATGAAAATCACAACTGTATCAAAATGATAATTAAACAAGAAAATATCCAACAGTAATCCCAAACATACAGTTCTTAGAGCAAGCATCATACACGTATATATATATATATATATATATATATAATATGTAAAGGAAGATGAAAGAATGAATCCCTTAAGGTAGTAATCTGAATCTGCTCATTCGTTGATGAAAAATTACAGCATTCTAGGGAATTGATAGAATTTTGCAATTAAGGAGGTGAAAAGTCCTGAAGAAATATCTTCCCTAATTCATGGCTTATTAATCAAGTTGAATGTATGGCAACAATTTCCCAACGCAATCACTTGAAGAATATAAACAATTTCTTTTCTCATGAATGAATGAAAACCGATTAAACTCCTATCCGAAACAAACTAGAACTTGTTTCTTAAAAGTTCAGTTCCATCTTGTAATTCAAATAATTTTATCTCGACTAAAATCAGACAAAATGAGGAACCTATGATCAACGATTTATTGCAGGAGTTATGTGACAAATACAGTCGGCCTCCCCTCTACCATCACTCCCATTGTCCGATTGTTTTTTTATAACATTGCAATGTTTGTTAATCTATTCCTTTGGCAAAACCGATAGCATGGCACTTAAGCATGAATTTACCATGGAGGGTCTATGTATTCCTGGAGTTAAACAAATTTATCCGACTAATCTAATAGTCCGACTAATCTTTATCCGACTAAAGGTATCCGACGTAAACTTCCGATCAACGTGAGCTGGGTCTCGCACTATTCCTGAACATAATTCTCAATTCATAAGTTTTTCGGGATGGGTAAGTAGATTTCCATAGCACTTTTAATCACTTTATACGTCTTCATAAACTTTTTATTAATATAGGACACTCATAATGAGAAACGCGATAAATAATAGGAAAGCAAATGCAGTACAACTGAAATTTGTTTCGAAAGTGAAATTTGGTGCGAAGATCCATGAACTGCAAGGTCTGCGTCTGCTCCTTTCTTTTTTTGAAATATATTTATTTTCTTTGTTGTGCTACTAAAGCATTTATCTTCAACTAACAAAGGACGCTTTTCCAAATGTAACTAACTTATTTCGAAATTTACAATAAAGTGCGCAACAATGGAACAAGCAAACACAGATAGGCATGATTCCTCAGACCTGAGATAAGTTTACATAATCTCTTTCCCAAAAAGATTTCAACTGAAATGAGGAATTTTAAATAGTAGTATGCTTGTAAAACTGTATAAAAGTTACAAAAGAAACAAAACAACTAATACAAACTTAAGTTAGAATTAATGAATAAATTCACAATATTAATTATGGTGAGTGTAAAAGTACTTCGCAAAAATGTAACAGATACATCGCGAATAAACTGTGAGGTGACTTGCACCATAAGAAAACACTAACAGTCAAAGACCCGATACCTGGCAGATGTTTACAAATTATAAAAACCCGTATAAATAATGAAGCGAAGTGAAACCGACTGTTGAACAACTGAAGAAATGAATGGAAGAAATAAAATACGGCAGTTAAACTTCCCAATTTTCTTTTTTCACTTGAAATGCTTCTATGCCCAAATACCTTCCGCATCGTCTTCCTAGAAGAAATTCAGAAGTTAAGATATCATTAAAACAGAATGCAACAGAGAACCCGCTTATTCGATGATAGTTTACTTTACATCAAAGATCAAAAGGTTAATATTCTCTGAAAATTCATCATCAAAATAAGCGAGATCCTTTCCAGTTAAGGAATTGAATCATTAAATCAAGAACTTCGAACAGTTCTCAAAAAGAAATTTAAAAAACTAAGCAAGATTTACAAAAATAAACAATTCGTCAATGTATGTAACACAAAAATACGCCGGACATGTTTACTAGGGAAAAAATAAGTGTAAATGGCTTCTAGATATAAGATTTTTTGTACTGAAAGGAGCTCAACCTGATCAGTAATAGGTTGTCGCGGTGTAGCAAGACTTGCTGAGGCACTGATTGTTGTAACTGTAGTAAGACCGCCTTCTCTTGAGAGATCGTTGGCTAAAATATTCACAAAATAAGTAAAATAAAAAATTCATACTTTTCACGATTATAAGACGGAATAATATTCCGTCTTATAATCCTGAATTCTGGTCTTGTAAAACATTTGCGATGCTGATCATTACCTACGCTCAAATTAGTGCAACTGAGAAGCTGAGCACGACGTTCATTTTCTTCTTTTAATTTTTCCATCAATTTTTCTTTATGATGGCGCAGTGTCTCTATTTCTTCTCGTGGTCTTTCCCTGGATTGCTCCAATAGCGCAATGTGAGCATCTTTTTCGGCAATCGCTGCTACCAACGCTTCATGCCTGTGAATTCAGCATAATCATAATAGTATGTAAATGTAGAGTGAATCCAAAGATTCTCTTCTACATAAACTCTCGGGACTTCAGAATAATATTCTCTTGTACATAAACTCTCAGAAAAATCTAACTTTAGCTGCAGCAGCTGCTCGATATGCCTTCGTTTTTCAACTTCCAAGGAACGCAAAACTTCTTCCCGTTCATTGCTTGTCAATTTTTTCACATGTCGTCGAAGCTCATTTAATTCACGGCGACATTCAGTTAACTTAAATTGGTTACTTTTGAAAAAAATATAAAATTTAAGTCATGAAAAAATTCAAGTTCAAAAAGTTACTAAATTTAAATCTAACCAACTAAACATGAATCACTTGAAAAAGAAAATAGTTAATACATACTTGAGCAGCAAGTTGCTGACTAAGCTGCTTTTGTTGGGCCACATGAAGCTCCCTTTCAGCCGTTATACTTACTGACTCACGCAAAGCTTCTTCTAGTTCTTCCACTCTATAAAATCGAAAAGATATTCTAATAAAAAGTTAGATTTTATGATTAACAAGAAATTCAGAAAATGTAAAAAAAGAACAAAATGAAAAACCACACCTAGATTTAAGAGATCCTTCGGTTGTGAGAGCAGAAAAGTCAGGTCGAGTTTGACCAATTGTCGAAGCAGCATCACCTTTGTGAATATCTTCCAATTTACTAAAAAAATTGAAATGAACTTCCCAACGGAAACTTACCCAACGTTTTAAAAGATTCTCTTTCAACGAAACTGGTGAAGAAAAAATGAATTAATGTGAAAATTGAAAAGCATACCTTTGCAACTGTTTACAATGCGAAATTATAGAAGCCTTTTCTTTCTCAAGTGTTTGCACCATTCGAAGAAGAGATTCAATCTCTTTTCTCGCTTCAGCAAGCTGAAAAATGTAGTCGATTGCTATTAATTTTTTAAAAGCAAATTTTCTGACGCTTCGCATCAATAACACTGCATTCAATGTTATTTGGAAGTCTAATATTGCAAATAACTACTCAAAGAAGAATGGGTCTTGACCATAATTTTCTGAAACTACCAACCTCTTCATCGTTTGAAAGTTGTGGTGCACGATCTTTGCACTGCCGTTCTGCCGTTACCAATTCTTGATCAAGATCACCTATTTTTTCACTTTGTGACTCCAGTAGTACTTCTCTGAAAGCTCTCAATAATCTAGTTGGTAATTTATTTCCTTTATCTCAGTTAGCAATCTAGACATCAAAATTTAAAAAAGGACAAGAAATCTGATCCCTTGGTAAGTTCATATAGTTACTGGCGAATAATAATTCTTTCTGCCAATATCAGATTAAACTCAGCCTCGAATCAGTGCCTCCTTTTAACTGTATTGGAATGTGACACGGAAATCTGCATTGGAATAACGAACTTATTGATATAAGACGGTTTATTATAACAATAATAATAACTAGGTGAAATTCGAAAATTTACTACAACAACAAACAATGAGAACGCTACCGATCGGCTAACTCTTTCTGCAAACTTTCGATTGTTGCTATTAGTTGCCGATTTTCTGCTTGAAATGTTTCCAACTGCTGCACTTTTTCTTTCTCAGCATTGTGGCGTAGCTCATTAATTAACGACTGCATCCTCAGTTTTTCCCTGCAACTATTGCCTACAGCAAACAATAAAAAGATGATCAGTACACAATTGAGCGACCAAGCATGTAAGTTAAAAATTTACAATGAATTCATCAGAATGTGGAACAGGCAGTCCTTGAAACTTAAAGACTGTTCTTTAAAATAATTAGGCATAAGCAGGCTAGAACAGCAACGTTATGTTAACCTATTAGCTTCATCAAGCTGCATCTGCAACTCTCCTTCCTTTTGCACGTCCGGATTTGTCAGAAGTTTTTGCTTAACTTTTTCCAGCTCATTTTCTTTTTCGCGCAATAAACTTTCCACAGCATCAATCCGCGCCAACAACTGACTGATTTTTTGCTCATAATTCTGCATGTAAATATATTAACATTTCATATAATTGATTTTAAATTCAACGTAGTTCGTCAGCACTATTAAAAAAAAAAAAAAAATGCTTACTCTATTGCTATCGCGAAGATCTGACACTCTGTTCTTTTCGACCGTTAAATCTGCTTCTAACCGTTCAGAAGTTTTTTCTTTTTGTTCTATTAGTATATTTTTGGTTTCCAGTTTAGCACGCAGTGCTTCGATCTGAATTTTCCGAATCTTTCACCAATAGGTTTAAGAAAACGAAATAAAAAGGTGATATTCTGTTACATTTGTAAAACAGCTTGAAAAAAAAAGCAACACTGTGGCTTACATCTGACTGCAACAGCGTTGCGTGCTTTTCCTTTGCTGTTGATGATTCACGGAAAACTTCAACACGTTTCCTGAGATCTTCGATGGCTTCCATTGCAGCTTGCAACCGTGTCTGTACTGCGGAGAGCTCAGCTACCCTGGAAAGCAAAAATTAGAAATGTATGCTAGAAAAAGTACTTCTAAAATTATTAATAAAATAAAACCTTCCATATCCAAGGAAAGCTAACTTTTGGACCAATTCCAATTCACTCCGTTCCATTTTCATACGAAGTGTATTGATCTCATGAGGGGTTACAGTTTTATCAGTGAAATCGCGCGGAAGTTCTGCCCGTTCTGATCTTAACATTTCAATTTCATCTTCTAGGTCTGCTATTCGTTGGTCCTAAAATCAAAATGTCACATAAGAAATGTTTTCGAAACAATAACTCTTATTTGAACAATTTTGAATATGGTAATGCCACAAGAAAATTACTGGAAAAAATGCAAACCTTAGCAGCTTGAGAAGATCCAATTGGTAACTGAGAAAAATGTCGTTCTATTGACCTAATTTGTTCTTCTCGGATTTCAAGCAACGATTCTAACTGATTACATCGTGTTTCCAGATCTGCCATGCGACTACCACCATCACGATATGTAGCTGCAGTTGTACGTTCCATAAGCCGCCTTATCGTTTCATCCTTTTCAGCTAGCTCACATCGACAGTTTTCAAGTTCTGTCTCTAACTCGGCAACTCGGAATCCAGATCCATTCTGAGGTCTAGCCTACAAATTACGCTATTAACAAAGTTAGACATTAGCATTAATTAATGTAAACGCATAAAATAATGACAATGATTGGAAATGCCGCGTAAATTTGCGTACAACAATAGAACTTCGCTAACTTGTCTCTGTAAAGCTGCAAGTTTTGCTGTTTCTTCCTTTCGCAATTGTCTTTCACGTTTCAATTCAGGACTCCAAAATGTTTTTATGGAACTCATAGTTGAATTCAACTTCTGCATAGCCATTTCGTAATCTTGCTTCAAAAGATTATAAGCGCGAACAGACTGCGTCTCCGACGGTCCATAAGTGTCGCCATTATACGAATAGATGCTGAAAAACTTCAAATCACGGTTGTAACTTTTAAAGGAAAAATGAAAATGAAACAAAAATGAAACCAATAATTAAGAATAAATTGATTTGAAAAGCCTATTCTAAAGTAAGAAAAACATCTGGAAAGCAAGCATACTTTGCTGGCTGCTTCCAAAAATATGCATTTGTTGTTATTGGATTAGACAACGATGGTCCAGAATACTGAGATGACATCATATCCTTATTTGCCGCAGAAATGTCCAAAGGCATAAGAGGTCGAACTTCATTTGTTTCGTACTCGTCCAGTTGCATTCCGTCAAGAGATTTATGTTGCCTGAATTGTGCAATGTCAACAACTTAAAAAGGGAAATTAGCCTTTACTTATATATAAAATTTCACTTCAAGGCAAGAGAAGTTAGTTCTAGAACTAATTAGTTTGTTTCTATAACTTTATTTAAGTAGAGGCAACAATATTCGACATTATTCTTGATGATGAATCTATAATGTGCAGAAGATCTATCAATTGAACTAAATATGATGAAAAATGAGAAAGGAAATGAATGCAGAAAAAACGGATAAAAAACTGCCAAAATACAATAACGAACAAAAGGAAACCAATACTGCGCGAGGACTTTACTAATAAAATATAAATTTGCTGCAAGAAATCTCAAATCAATAGCTTTCATAATGTATTTTCATTGCATTTCAAAAATCTTAACTAAAAAATGTATGTGAAGGATGGCGGATTAAAAATCAGAAGAAATTAGCAAAATCCATTTTGGAACAATTTTCGTGAAAAATCAGAGATCGAGTAATACACAGTCATCCAGAGTCTAAAGTAAGTAATCTATTGGTGATTACGTATACATAAACATGTATATCAACTGTATTGAAAATTTCAATTCATATTTTATCATTTTCTTAATCAAAATCTTTCCATACTAACCAATATGTAAATGCTCGAAATTTGCATGATGATTAATATATCACTTTCGGGACAAAAAAATCTTATTTTCAGTGAAATGTATGGCATATAAACGCTATATGTATGGCCAAAAAAAGACACCAATTAAAATGAATAGATACTAGAATGTCCCCACTTGGAGGATGAGACACGAAAAACACGAAAGATGAATTTGAAACAAAATATGATAAATTATGTTGACATGTACAGATTGGAGGGGGTAAATTTCATTGTTAATGATCATATGCAGGAAAAAACAACATATTATTTTGAAGACCGTGTTTGAAATATAAAAAACAGAAAACAGAGCAAAAGCACCCTTGTGAAAATTTTCCCTTTCTTTTATAGAGCTATTCCTGGTCTTGAAATACACAGAACAATACATAAAACCGAGAATAAAACCGAGACACAATCAACACATTCTGCAAGCATTTTACTCCCACAACTACCAGCAAGGCAGAATCATTCCTTATTGTGAATGCTTATTTTTACTTTTTTATGGTAAAACATTGGGAATTCTTGTTTATGTTAGTTCTCTCTTTCCAAAAAAATTCCCTATTACCTAGAACAGGTTATCAGTAATTATTCAATGACGAAATCTACAGATAAATCTGAAGCAGTCATAAAAAAGTTTTTCTTCAATGAAAACTTCATGGCTGTTTTATTCTTCTGAAAATTTAACTGGAAAAGCAATTAACCCAAGATTCATAACACATTTCGGTTCAATTTATCGCGACTATTTTTCTCTAATTAAAATGCTATTAGTTCAGCAATAAAGTTTGGAACTAGTACGCAAAATATTATTTACTGAGTATGATAAGTCAAAAAAAATGAACCTTTGCAAAGCAGCGAAGCGTCGATTGCCAGAGTAAACGGAATTCATTACTTCAGTAGAATCAACCGTGAAATTCGAAGGTCCAGCGCTACGGCTGCGATATACCGCTGCAGCACCGTTCTGCCAGCAACTGCTGGGCTCGTACTGAGCAAACTGCGTTATCGGAGTTTCTCGCTCACTTGGCTGTTGATTCCAATTAGTGCCTGCACTTATCGAGCAGAAGGTTCCTGGTAGATAAAAATTGGTCGGTCTGAATGCAATTCGCGCGTACTGTCTGCAGAACTGTTTGTTTATCATGAAAATCTTATTGTAAATGAAACTCTGGGTATTCTGATTCAGATGTTATATGAATCTTGGGTATTCTGATTCAGATGTTATGTTATATGAATCTTCAGATGTTATATGAATCTGAACAGAAATGTACAAATAAAGCGGAAGTTATGTAAACAATTTAAGAAACGAAGCTATTACTCTTAACAAACACAGACTTATTGATTCTAAAACGACGAAATAATCATGAAAAAAAAAACCTCTACTGAAATTAAAAATAAACTTTACGATGTACTGAAAAACAGCTTTGTGTTTCCCAAGACCAAAAAGAATTAGAGAACGGAGGTGTTTAATGCCATACAGTAGGCATAAAATGGATTTAGAACTATATATATATATATATATATATATAAACATACACACATGCATGTTTTTAAGAAATATGAAGAGTGAAGGGGAAGGGGAAAAGAATTGCGTAGCGGACACATTGTTATTATTAATTATAAGAAATTTGCGCCAATAAATTTTAGTTTAAATATATAGAAAATATATTTAAGTAAAGGAAATATTTATAAGATGAAAGTTAACCGATGGCGATTTTGACTTAGTTTGTT